ATTCCTGCCAACAGCCAGGTGGTGAAATAATTAGGCTGATCATTTGCATTCCTAACGTGCATGGTTACTGCCTACCCAAATCAAATAATTGTAAAGACAAATAGGAAACTTTTTAAAGAAAAGGACTGAAACAGCATCGGTTCCAAAAGCACATGGCAGCAATCTTCTACTCCTGAATGGGAAAGAATATATTTGCCTGAAATTAGATATGCGAGTAACTACGCCACCTCTATGCAGTTTGCCCAACACTGCAGGAATCCTTTGGCGGCCGCTCAAACTGGTTTTCCACAAGGTTTGTACCCCATAAGTTGGGGTACAAACAGGGTGGGATGGGAATGAGGATCTGGGCCCTTACCCCTGCTTCTATATACTTTATCCTCTATTCCATGAGCTGAACAATCCCAAAGTAGACAGCTGATTTGGTGCTCATGGATGGAAATGCGGTCACAAATATATCCACATCTTAATCCACGGATGGCCAAGAAAAGGAGAACCAGGGCTTTGACGTGCATGCTCCCTGGAAGCAGACATGGGCTCCCCAGAGGGAATGAAAGATAAGGGTCATATGCTCATCCTAGTATGCAGGGGGTGGTCACATCCTGCACAAGCTACACTTCTCAGCATCACTTCCACTTTCAGCTCTGAAGACAACATACACGACAGTCATCCCATCCAGAAGGAATAAAGCATCATCAGGACAGAAAGACAGATACAGAAGTTTCAGCAAACTACTTGGCTGTTTTGTACTGATGAAGGAGATCTGTAGCTACAGAGAATAAGGGAAATAGCTGCATCTTTTTAAGTGCCAACTGGGTGACCTTATCCTGTCCAGCTGTGTAGATTGAAATCAAAGGGGAAGCAACTAAAAACAAAGCACTGGCAAAAATCAGGTGCAGTATGGCTCCTTGGGGAAGCAACAGGGAAGATACGACTTCGGAAATACTCCCAAGCTGGCAAAACCTTTCTGTCTAGGTCTAACCCCAAATCAAAGGAGTACCGAGACCTTGAAGAGACTGGCACAGCCAAGATGATGGGAAGAGTGGGTTGTCAGCAGCTGCTGGTTGAGGGTCTCTATTGGAGACTGAATGCAGTCAGCTTCTCCAACCCTGGAGACAGAGGGACCTGACCAGATGGAACAGACCCACACTTGCAAGGAAAAGTTTAGGCAAGGGACAGTATATGCATATAGGCCTCCATTGCCCTGACCCTTTCCATTGCCTACATACCTGTGGGTGAATAAATAATGCTTTGCTTTGCATCACTTTAATTAGGGTCACAGGCCCCAGAGAACAGGGCCTTAACGTATGTTCATCATGTCCACAGTTGGGAGGGGAACAACAAGAGCCACTTCCAGAGAGTGATGCCTGGTAACGTCTGATGGCCCAGAGCTCCCGAATGGACAAAACCACCAAAGCGCCCAAAGACAAAGGTACAGACGCCGTTTCTACCATACGAAAGAACAGTTGGGAAACAGGAGGCTGCCCCCGGGGGGCCAGTCTAAGGGCAGCTGGGCCCTGTCTAGGTGTCCACCATTTGAGAGAGGTGCAAGAAGTCCGGCTGTCACCCTACGGGAGCGCTTGAAAGGGACTGGAAACTCACTCTGCCTTCCCCCGTCTAGACGGTTTCTGTGTGCCATATGTCAAAGCGCTGCTGCCAGGAGCACTGTGTCCCAGACTGCTCCCCTCAGCATTTTTCTCTTGCAAACATCACTTCAGTCTTTGCCTGAATTCAGTTTGAGCCAGCTGCTCCTCACCCAGGTGCTAATCAACCGAAGGCATTAGAACAGGCCTGCAATGGCACTAGTTGTGTCTGCGGGATGGGAAACGTAGAGCCGAGAGTCACCGGCATTTTGTTTGCTGCAGAGCCCACGTGAGCTCACCGTGTCTCCAGCTACCTTCCCGTGGATCCTGAAAAGGGAAAGATGCAGGCTGAAGAGTGGGGATGCTACAGGTGAGGGATCTGGGAGAAGATCTACGTCACCGGTGTCTGGGTCCATCAGGCAGGAAAGGCTGACACCAAGTACCGCTGCACCGTCTACCCTCTGTGCCACGTCGATGGGGCAGCAGCATCTTGAGGTCAACAGCGCTGAAAGCTGCCGACTGAAGGACATGAGTGGAGACGTGACCTATACCGCCACTGGGACAACGCTTTTGTTTTAGGCCCATGAGCGCTGCCTTTGTGTTGTGCCCTCCCTGCAGCCTGGTCACAAAGCACCTAGGACACTGGCAGAGATCACGTGATACTGGAGCTATTGTTTGTCCGTGGGTTTTTGATGATTTAGCTTAGGAATCAGAGGCTGAAGGCACGGCACGTGCTGGTGAGATCATTCAGCGTTTTTGTGCAAGGACTACCGGACCTTTCAGCAGCTGGCAGGTTTGCCTCTCCGAAGTACTAAAA